TCTTTCTTTCTCCAATAAGGCAAGTAATTAGTTAAAAATTTTAGAAGACTTTGTAGCTGTCATTGTTATTGTTCTAATTAAGTTATATTTTGCCCCAAAAGCTGTTTCTATCATAATCACAGCCTGAAAAACTAAATGTGGGGTGAAAGTCAGAGTACATTTTTTTCATAAAATATTGCATTAAATAGTAATAACATGAAAATTAAAACACCATACTCCACCTGGGTGTTAAATTTCATTGTATCTTTCTTCACAGGATATTTCTTTCATAGTAGCAATTATTATGATTTAGCCTATGATTTACTGAATTCAGCCTTCGTGAATAATACACATTAATTCTTACCTATTTTGATACTCCATAACTAGAATACCCTAACTATTACGCTTAAGCCCACAGGCAGGGCTTTTTCCCTCTCATCACAAACACCTAAACTGGAAAGTTCATGTCTAAAGGAAACTATCCCCAGAGCTTTCAAAATTCATTCCTATTTATAACATTGAGAGAATGATTGCCAATATGGAGGAGGAAAAGTTGATTTAAAGTAATTGATGTGACAAAACAGAAACATTGTTTCTAGAATGTTCTGAATGTTAATCCAGGTAATCGACTTGAACTAATATGTTATTCACAGCTCCTATGAGCTGAGCGCTCATTCGCTGCCTGTATGCCAAGAACAGTCCAATCCTATTGCCAACATCTTATGCCCCAGATAGAGGCATTCATCTTTTTCTTTAAATATTTTTGTTTTTTTGTGTGTTATTTTGTCAAGGTGCCCATTTCCCTGTGAACTTAATGAATATATGAAGACTTCCCATGACCATAAATCTATTTTTTTTCATATGACTGCTCACATCATTAAGTTTACCTTGTATTCTTTTAGCCAGTCCAGAGCTGAGGCACTTGCCTTAGGATGCTGAGTTTGTAGAATATCAGGTACCAGCCACAGTCATGTCTGTCCATATGTAGCCATCACGCATATGATCATTTGTTCCCACAATGCTCCATGAACCATCTTTTCCACACTGTTTCATTGTCTTTGGCAGAGAAACTTGTAAAACATTAAGTGGGTGGACACTCATTTATATCAAAGACGATTCCATTTTGAGGATAAAATATCCCTAAACATCACGTTAGTGCTGAATATCAGCAAACCTTTTAAATGGCAGAAAACTAGCTTTTCCCTTTCCTTCTCATTTCCTCAGCTCTCAATTTACTCCTATCCATGAAGATTCCACATTTTAATTCTGCTGCATTCTGTCTCTTGGCTTAATCCCATTTATTGCCATTTATATCATTCCGACTCTAGCAACTCTCCCCCATACACATTCCATACTTAGAATTCCCCCTACTGTTTCTTAGCAAAACTCCCTTGTCGCAGGTTGCTTGTTCTCTGCGCCATATTCCATGCTACTCTAGAAGAATTATCATATGCTTATATGATAATATGCACAAATAATACAACTTATGACCTACCCCAACCACAAAGTGACAAATGAACCCTTAGCATTATAATTGCCCAAAGGATGAGAATTGCCAATGCTGGGAAATTTTAGGTAAACTTCAGGAATATTAAGTTTACCTGAAAAAAACAGTGGCTGTGCCTTTCAATGTTCTTCAGGTCGCTTGAGTGGTGGCTGATGCATTAGAAGAAGTAACATACAACACTGCACCACGAGCTGATGGTTTGGTTGTCACATAAACAAGGAATCAACATTCTCTGTGCTCCACTGGTCTCATTTTCTTTTCCAGGTCTTATTCACAGTCAGTTTCCTGCATGGTATTTGAACAAGTTAGAGAGAATCAAGTAGTGGTAGCACCCTTCGTCAGCAAAGGTTTCTGCTTGGAAACAGAATTGAAAGAAGCAGGTAGAAAAAAGGTCACATTGGATCAGCTGTAATGATGGACAACATGGAAGAGTCCCAATGGGCACCACTGCGTCCACGCTGGGCATTACCTGTGTTGCAGCCACACAGACCTGACTTAGGCTGCCCTTGCAAGTACCAAGTACAGAACACGATTATTTTTTTGATGAAAGCCCTGTGGATTGTTTTTGGTGTGCATATTAACACAGAAAAGAAAGACGGCCAGGTTATTTCTTGCAAACAGCAAGAAAGACATTTTTCCCTTGAAAATGTGCAAGATACATCTCTACTGGAAACACACACATGCACATGCACACACACACACACAAACAAACAAACAAAAAAATCCTTTCATCCAGAATCTGTGGTTTGCTTTCTTTTATTCCTTCATGTACATGAATATGTGAAAACACACAACACTCAGACATGCAGCCTGATCAAGTGATAATCTCTTATAATGTGCTTCTATTTAAAGCAACAAACAGATGGAGGTTTATGAGCGAGGCTGGTGAAAGTAAAAGCAAATGATTGCAATAGTTGTACTTTTAATAGGATTCCCCACAATCCAAGACATTATTCCCTAAGGAACAAATTGTTCTTTAAAATTATGTTACTTAAGAAAGAGATAGTCGCCCTGACATTGCCGAGGCCACAGAGAGCTGCAGGACAGCCTTGAATTGCCGAGGTCTCTCCACTCAGGTCAGCCTCCTGGGAGGGGGAAGAGAGGATGTCAGGCACCACAATCCCCAAAGAACAAGCTCAGCGGAATGGGATAAAAGGAAGAAAGACCAAAGGGTAGAGAAAGTACAGGACATGTCTGGGACCTGATTGAATTTATTACTTTCTTCTTCTCAACTTCGAAAAACAAGGTTTGGGAAATTCCTTCAGATTTAAGATAAACATGCAACATGGTTTCTACCTCTGCCAATTCAGACCAAAAGCTAGCTCTAACATAGCAAATTTTGGTTAACACGCCAGTGGAACTGTAAGCAACCCAGCACTAATTCATTATCATTGTCCCTCCTTAAGAGAAACAAAACTCACTATAATTGTATCAATAAGATGAATATACCTTCGTGATGGCCTTTAGGTAATTTATAATTGAAGCTAATCTTAATTCAAGTTATTGCACCATTTTGGAAGAAAATAAACAACCCAAAGACAGGGAAACAGTGTGGTCAATAACTCACTCCAAAAATATGTGTTGCTTCCAAAGCTCACATTGAGGGAGACATTCCTGCACATGATACAAATGGTTCTGACATTAAAAAAAGTAAACAAGTAAGAAAAATAAAGATGGAAAAATTCTGTGGTCAGTTCACAAGTGCTTTTTTATTGTTTGAGGCAGGGTTAAAGCCTTTTATAAAGACAAGGATATATGTGCGGCTGGATTGGATATGACATCGGACTCGTCTAGCTGCTCTTGCACAGAACTCCGGCTGCCCACATTATGCCAAGAAGAAAACATGTGTTGATGCTTCTAAACAACAACCCGGGGAGGCACCGAATGCAGATAATTTAAAGCATTATTCCAGTGCCGTTTTGTAGATCAAACAGAGAAAGGTACTCCAGTTATGAATGGATTTGAGAGATAGAGGCAGACATTCAGCGTTCTCCAATTATTCGTGGTTTTGAGGATTTTAACCTTAACTTGTCTCAAGAACTGATTAACAAAGGTTGCATAATGTGTAAGCGGGACTCCCGCCAGCCTCAATACATGTCATTCAAGACCTGTGTTAACTCAGTAGGCCAGAGGCTATATAAACGGGCTAGAGCTGAGAAAGTAGGTTCTTTTTGGGCAGCTTAGGGATTCTGAGTCCCCAGAGATTTACAATAACAGCTCCCTAGTCCCTCAGTATCTATAACTTGGAGGGATTCTCTTTCAGGTTTTGCTATCATCAAACTGACCTAATACTGCGAGGACAATGAGCACTTGATCTAAAGAGAAGCAGAAAAATAAACACTATCGCATCAAGAACAATCAGCCTTTTGAATATCTTCTAGAGTGATTTGACTGGTGTACCAGCAAGTTAGGTAAGTTTACAGCCACCCAACTAGCAATGATCACACTTATGTCCCCTGTGACATTAGTCCACAGCCAAGGATATAGGAAGACATAGCACCGTCTCATAACCTATGGATTTGATTTCTAAGAGGTCATGAGAAAGATACGAAATCCAAAAGGTTTGTGCCTTCTATAAAAACTCTGTGGTCTGGTGGGTGTTTTCTATAGTCTTAATTTTGTTTTTTAACCTCCTGACCCATCACTCTATCTTTCATCACCTCACTACCTTTAAATAGCACCCAAAGGAGCAAGCCAGCCCCACGCACGAGTATGGCCACAGGCATCGCTGGAAGTGTATACGGTTAAAAATAAATTAATAAGTAAGAGTCCCTGGTGCAACCAAACCCTCGTACTGAGAGAGATGCCTTACTGCCTTACACTGCATCATATTCAGGGCAATAAGTGGATTTAGAGATGAATGAAACAAGATAAAAGTCCATGCTTTTGTAGTCAGGGATTTAGGGAAAGCTATTTACTCCAATAAAGGGATTGTAGCAACATGAAGCCAGCCATAAATGTATGACCTGGCTGGGAAGTTATACCTTGTTCTCTGAAAAGCTGCAAACCAAAATGCACCACCTGTCATAAAAACGATGCTAAAGGAAGGTGGAGGGGAAGAGACGGGAGCTATGTATATGCAGAATGCAGAGGTTATGATTTAAAGGGAGTGAGGGAGAGTGGCTTTCCCCTAAACTGTGATTATTTCACTAAAAATGAGCCTGCGGCACGATGATATCAGCCAACTCAATAGGCGAGCTGAAGACAGTCTTTCTCACTTGAATGCAGCCACTGAGCATGCCCAGTGAGGCCCCAGGTGTGACCTCTGCTCCCCTGTGAGCAGTGGCAGGACCAGGCAATCTATCATGGTGTTCATGCTGTCAGCCCCATTGCTTCACAACCGCTGTCTGTCACCCTGGTGGATGAGACCTGCTTAAGGGCAATCATGTCAATCTCGATGTGACCACTCAGTCTAAGGCAGAAGGATGATCTTGACAGGCCTGGCAAAGTCAGCAGAAGGTACCAAAAGCTGAAGTCATAGCCTTTCCCAAAGAGAAGCAACTGGGCTATTGTGTTTTCTTTAGCATTTTCTTTATTTTTGATTCCCCTTTGATTTTATTTTCATGAAATGGGTGAAGGTACACAGAACTTGGCTTCAGAGCTGGTCATCTCGGATAAACCTGTTGCCTTCTGAGTTTTTCCCATAGTAAATGTAGCGACACTTCCCCAGGACTCCTGCAAATAAAAAGACACAGATCATTGCAGGTGGCACGATTGACAAGGCAGGGAAACATAGGTGCTGAAAAACAGACATGCAAGGCAACCACAGATCCAATGGGTGGCAGAAAGTGGATCAAGCCCCAACTTCTTGTCCTCACAAACAAGAAATTTCTGTCAACCTCAGAGTTGACATGGAAATAAAACGTCACTACAAGTACAAGTTCCTAGGAATATTGTTTTCTGCATGACTTCTCTTCCACACGATAGGTACTTTTCTAATTTGGCCAATTACTCCCCAAAATATAGCCTCTCCTCATCCCAGTTTCCCTTAGTAGAGTTTCGAAGAATGGAAAATGAAGAGTTTAAAGATGAACCCAGCCCAAGCAAAAGACTTAGAACAATCTTCCCAGAATGTGACTATTTTTGAAGTCCTTTATCATGAATCAGCATTGTTAACCTCCAGAGAGAATATTCCAAATCCTGGCAGGCATGAGGCATCAGGCATCGAGCACATATGGGATGATCAGGGAAGAGGTGGTGGTGACAAAATACCACATGGACAGGAACAAGAACCTCCGGCATTAAACGGCTTCGTACAGGCGTCTTGAACTCTCTATTTCAGGTCAGAATGCATTTGATTTCCATTTTCAGCTTTACTTTAAGTAATTCTTTGACTCCGTATAAGGCTCTCCTCTAATTCAAGGAGATTGTAGGAGACTTAACAAGGAAAAACGCCCATAGAATAGGGTAGAGCTTTTTAATCAACTCATTATTTATTCAAAATACCCGTAAGAAATCACCTGCCATAGCTATTGTGAAAGCTCTGTAGGATTATCAAGGCAAAATCTGTTTTGTTTTTGCCACCTGCGTTTTTATTTTCTTCTATTTTTAGAAAAATCTATTTTAAATTCAGTTGCACAGAGTTGCCTTAGCACTAATCGGACTTGAGTCTGAACTACACACAACTAGAAAAAAGCAAAGAAAGGAAATATCCATAAGTCATTCATTCAGGAGCCACAAATCTGCCTCTGAAAATAGTTACCTAGGGGCATGATGATTTTTTTTCCCCATCAGTGTGATAGTGTGAAACCAACAAGCCCATTTGTTTTGGTTAATTTGGGATAAATTAGCACTTGAAATTAACCAGGTTCTTCACATCAGAAGTTCTAAGTAGTAAATATTTTTGCAACTGTAAAGGAGACATTTCTCCACCACAAAGCTTTAAAACCTTGTTCTTACATAAGTATCAGAATGACTTTTAGAAACTTTTAAGGACAGAGTAGATACTCCCTGGTTTAGATGGCTTGGATCAAAGCTAGAAATTGCTGGGGTCAAAGAGTCTCTCAGAGTTGGCAATGAAGAGAGGGTGACAATGTTCCACGGCTTCAAAGCTGGCCTTGGGCTCAGCCTCTCATTAGCTTTATTTCCTGCCATGCTCCCATGAACAAGTTTACTGTGGATCATTCCTCCCTCTTGTTCATGCTTTCTCCTTAGCCCCCCATTCCCAATTTCTGGTTTTCAGTATTGGTCTGGTGCCTGGAAACTTTGAGCTTGGATAGAACCTCACTGAGACCCTTCTCGGGACCTAAATTATTCTTTTAGTTGTTGGCACTGAGCTGTTTCCTTTATCGTGCTGAATTACGTAGCAATCAGTGTTGTGCTGATGTCACCCATGCCAGGATCCCGCTGGTCTGTGGGCTTGACTGGTCAGGCTCTGCTCCAGGAATAGTATCCACTACAGGCCTGGGTCGGAGTGCCTCAGTTCTGCCAGGTATCCACAGAGGGCTTCCCTAAACATAACTGATTCAAACAAACCCTGAAGAATCCGGAAGGATGGGGCTGAAGGATGCTACTTTCTTTCTACAGCACTAGGGCAACATGAATTTTAATAAAAGAGGAATGGACAGGGATGTCAGATGTCATAAAAAACACAATCTTTCTCTTGAGCAAAAGGATGAAAGGCAGACACACACACACACACACACACACACACACACACACACACACACACCATGAGTGCCCTCTCTCCAGTAAAATCTCCAGTAAACTTTTCAGTACGTTCAGGGATTCAACTGCTTTTTTTCTGCCCTCTCTCCATGGTAAACTTCAACTCCAGATCTCACCTAGATGCAACTTGGACAGCAAGTGCCGCCCTGGAAACAGGCTGGATGCTCCTGGAACGTAGGCTGTAATGTGTTCTGTGCCACATTCCCGGGCCTTCTTTCTGGCTGGCATTGATAAAGGTCTTTTTTAAGGCCTACCCTGTTGCTTTGGGCCTGGAAGCAAGAATGTTTATAGACATCCTGGTGAGAGAAGGCTGTTTGATGAATGCAGGAGACTGCGGCTAGGTGTCAGCGCTTGGAAGATGAGGCAAGGACATGAGGTATTAATATTGTCAATGATCTCTTGACGTGAAAAAAGATACCACATTCACTGTCAGATTTAAAGAGACATCAAGTGCATTAATGACAAAAGGGCAGACTTCAAACAAAGGGGCTGTGTGGTGAAGAGCGGAGCTAGTCTCTGTGCTGGCAACAGCCTGATCTGAAAAGACACCGTCAGGGCTGCAGACAGGCCCAGGGTTGTGTGTGGTGACAGAAAACAGAGATGCTGACAAAGATACCAGCGCCATATTATGCCAAGGATATTCTAAAGCTGTCTGCCGCTCTAACGAAAGCTGACATCACTCCCCATCACTTGGGGTCTTCTCTGCCTGCCCCTGCAGAACATCTCTCCCAAGACATCATTACAAAACTCGCTGCGGCTGCAAAGGTCCTGGCAGTCCTGTTGTGTCGGAGCAGTGGGGTCAAGGGGCCTAAGGATAACCTCAGTCAATCTAAATTTGGACTTTGCAGGAGGAGTTCACCCATCCCCACTGATATCTCGGCTACTTGAGGTGATTAGAAGGCCAATGTGTGAGGAGCTGTCACTTTGAATAAACTCCTGGAAAGGATGGCACTCAGTCTGTGGGCTGGCTGCTCCAGGAAGGCATGGGGATGGCCTGGCAGTTGAAAATGAGATCCAGCTGCCGGTGCTTGCCCGGGGAGAAAGGTGCTCCGGTTAGCCATGGTAAGAATCGGCTGAAATTATCAAACTCAAACCATCTCCAGCAGCTGAAATTAAGTAGCATTGCCTCTGTGAGTCTCCTCCCAGAGCTCAGAGTCGGGATGTGATTACCCCCAATATGTGACTTTTGTGTTCAAAAATAAATAAATGAAATTAACCAGGAAAAGCAAACACACACGAACACAGCACAGTCCCATGCGTGGCCACAGGCCTTTATTTATCAGGAAGGTTATTTGTAAAGTATGAGGCTCTGCTCATAAATTAAGTGAGGTGGCATTGTGTTTCTCTCTCCCTTGCCCTCCCCATGGCCCTCCTTCTCCAGCCATGGCAACTGCCATAAACTGTGAAAATTACAGAGAGAACAGTTTGCTTGCAAAGAACATTTTGATGGGGAGGCACTCCGAGGCTGGAATTTGGGAACCTGCTGGTTTGGGACTCAGTAGGCAATGGTTTCCCTGCACATCTGCAATGGATTCATTTGTTTCTATCTCCTCAAACTACAACATCTTGGGACTGGAGGGAGAACAACACATTTAATGGCATATGCAGTGTTTTTAATGAAAAGATCGGACTTTGGCCATAGTAAGTGAAGGAGGCTTGCCCTGCGTCAGGCTGATGTGCAGCTGTCTGTGTGGGGTTTCTTTTCGAGGGACCCTGAAAAATGACAGTGCACTGTCCCCTGGGGAATTCTCTCCTGCCAAATGAGACTCCTAATTTTTCTTAAGTAGCCAGCTTTCCCATCACCATAAGCTGTTAAAGCTATAATTATGAAAAAAAAAAAAATGTATCAGGAAGAATCTGTTTTTAAGAGGCCCTTTATCTTTTCCATGTTTTTCCCCTCTGGAATGGATGTCCTAATTTTGCAGGTTAAATTAAAACCTTAGGGCTCTCAAAGGGAGTGGGAATCAGCCTCTTGGATGTAAGCCTAGGATGGCGGAGTCAGTACCAGAGATTTTGCTGCGGGAGGTTCTGAGATTCCAGTCCAGGAAAGAGAATTCTTGCACATCCATGCATCTAGCCTCCTGGACTCCCTGATTCCTGGACGGCCTCACACTTCCAGCTGCAGTTTGATGTTCTATTTAGTAAGCGGAGGTGGAGGAAGACCTGCATTGAGATCCAGCCATTCTCTAACAGTCACATGACCACGTACATGTCCCTTTCTCTCACTGGGCTGGTTTCCCTATTTGTAAAACAAGGACAAGGGGCCAGATAATCTCAGAGATTCATTTTAGTTCTGAAATAAGACAGTTTGCATTTTCCAATGTTTTCCTTATGAAGATGAGACTATCAGGTCCAATATTGCCTTAGGCAGGAGACAAATTCAACAGGTCAGTCAATTAAAAAATTGGTTTAGATTAAGTCAGCCCTTGAAATCCATCCAGCCTGTATCCCCAGAGTATAACCTGGAGAGAAGGGGGCCTCTGGAAGACCAAAAATCCCCGAGGAATGGGTCTTCATGAACTTTCCTGCAACCTGTATTGCATACTCACAGCTGGAAGTGCTGACCACTAACTAGGCTGTGTCCCACTGGCTTTGGCATACGCCCGAGTGTCATAACCGGATTCAACAGAACCAAAGCCTAGCCATCAAAGCAAGTGGTCTGTCGTTAACATTTTCGTGGTGTAAAAATAGAATCTGCACGTAAAAATACAAAAATGCAAAATTGATATTGGAGTGCAGGTTGGACTGACACATTTATATTTGTAAAACAGAATATTCATTATCACCATTGTTAGTTTCGGTAGTCATCACTTTAGGGATCATTATTTTAAATGCTATTTCCTATGTGTTTATCAATGTAGCTAGGAATGACGAGCATACCTCAATCCCATTGTGATACTAGTTTATAATTTACACTAGGATGGAACTCCTTTTCTTTCATCTATATTAGAAAGGAAGGAAATAGATACCTCATGGCCTCTCTGCAAAAAGTGATAACAGTGTTGTGA